ACATATGACAAGAGCAAGAATTTAGACCCCCAAACTGCATTCAAACATTTTTTTTTTACTAAAACTAGTACAAATGGACTATTAAGGGTGAAAATTGAAGTCATTTACTACTTACAGACCTCCCACTCTCTTTCCCTACCTTAGGGGGAAACTCTCCCCATCACTACTGTAAATCAGCCATTTTACTGCTTGTCATGCCATCCTGAAGTGCTGGGGGCCACCAATGGCCAGTGAGCTGTGAGTTGCCTTCCTCTGTTGTTGCAGACATATAAAAGTGCCATGCAAAAGAGTATAAATGGTAGTAAGGTGAGCCAGGTAGTTTTCTTGCAGACATTTCATTACCCAAACTAGGTAACATCATCGGTGCTAGGTATCACTAGATAATGAAGCATAGGCCTTAAAAAAAAAACCAAACGAACAACCAAGGTCAGAGGGCACCAAGGACCCTTCATTTCAACCCCAGAGTTGCAAATGTTCTCCTTTATTGAAAAATGGCAGTGTCAGGAGAGAAATACTTTCTCATTCTTTCTATAGCTGGTACCTGGTTCCTGAAAATATTCTTGAAGAGCATCCGTGCTCCAAGGGACAGGCAAGAGCGGCACATGAGAAAACATGGGTCACAATGGAAAGTCCTCCCCTTATGTACATGTTTGTGACTTTATGTAACAAGTAGAGAGTTTGCGTTGTGACATCACAATGTATATTTGAACAGTTTGTCATCACCCCTGCTAGAAATGATGAAGATCTGAACATCTTCTTTGCTGAAGAACTGCTTGCTGAAAAGCATAATATAAACTTAAAGACTTCTGAATTTGTCCTGTATTTTTTTTTCATTCAAATTCTTTATTTATGGGTTTTCATCCCTTTTTTATATATATAATAGTTCTTTTTCTAGGCTGGTAAGTTCCACTAACAATTCCTTTATCTACATGGGTAACTTAATGTAACTCAGAGTGCTATCTTCTTCTCCATCAACAAGGTAGGGATACACTCCTAGTGGCTGCCTTGGCAGATGTGGGCATGACAATAAAAGCCTGTAAACTCCTCCAGATTGTTTCCCTTCCTCATCTTCTCTAGTAAATGTAACAGTATAAAATCGAATTTTCTATTTTTTTTAAAATTAGCTTTAACATATCTGGAATCAAAAATCCAGAGAGCCACTAGATGGAATTTTCCATGTCTCTTTTTTGCCATCTATTGGTCACCTGGAGTTTTGCAATCCACATATGGCAGGCCTCATTTTATTATGTGGAATTCATTAAAATGCTATTAAATTCTCTTCAGAAAAAGACTGATTTGCAATTTTAATACTTGAAATGGTTACTATTGCCAAAAGATAACTAATTGCATCATAGCAAGCATTTCATATTCATGACTTCAACGAGACACTCACATCTGATGACTGTAAGAGATACGATTAAGGCTTACATACTTCGTCTTTAGTTTTTATCTCACACATACACACCGATCTTTGAACGTCTTTTAATTACACCTACTACTATTTGCAAACAATCTAATTAATTTCTCCACACATCCACACATATATTCTCCCCATAGGAACCAGGCTATGGTTTATTCTTTGCTTCAGAGGCCTTCCAGGTTTCCTTTGGATGGTAGTTACATATCCCTGCTGCAGCTGCCCATTCTCATTTCCTGGAGACTGTTGAGGTCTGGATGGGAAACAAAAGATTAAAACTGAAGCCTGCCAAGATGTGGAGGCTTTATGTCCATGATTTCTTGGCTCTTGGAAAATTGCCACTTTTAGTCTTGGATGGGATGGCACTGCCCCAAACAGACCTAGTACATAATCTGGGAGCTCTCCTGGACTCACTGCTCTTGTTCAAGAGCAGATGGCAGTCATGGCCAGGAGGGCCTTTGCATAACTGTGAGTTGTGCACCAGTTATACTCTTACCTCAATCAATGTGCCCTTCTCATACAGGCCGGGTGCATCATGCGCAGGCCACACCCACCCAAGCTCCACAAAGGGAACACATTGCACATTGCAAAACATCATGTGACGGCAATGTGACGCCGCGAGTTTGACACCTTTGATCTAGCGGGACCCAGAAAAGGGGCTTTCTCCATGGTGGGTCCCTCCCTGTGGAATATCATTCCCCAAGAGATAAGATTAGCCTTCACCTTGATACTTTTCTGGAAAGCCCTGGAGACATGGTTCTGTCAGTGGGCCTGGGGCCCTGGGATCCCAGGTTGAAATGGAGCCCATCAAGTGTGTGATGTGATTGTGCCTGTGGCTGCTGAGGGGCGTGTTAGGGGATTTTATATTGTGGAATCACTAGAGTTGCCTTGTGTGAGTAGGCCACTATGCAAATGTGTTTAAATTAATGTTTCCCATCTGCAGCAAGCTACCATTGTTTTTGCTAAATTGTTTGTAGCATATATCTCACCTGGCTGCTATTAAACTTTCAAAGTTGGAATGGATCTAATTAGCAATTGGTTGGAAGACACCAGGAAATCTCAGATCTGTGAGCTAGAAAGAGATTTGAAAAAATATTTGGAAAGAAAGGCAATTGTAAACAATTTCTGTACTCTTGCAAAAAAAAAAAAACCTCCAACAACATGCATGGGTTTGGCTATGAAGTCACTAGGAATATGACTTGAAGGAAATTGTAGTTTAATACTTGGTTTTGGATTTGGCATTTTGAACAATCTCAAGGGGCCTGCTTCAGGTGCAGCATGAAATCATAAATCATGGGAGAAAAGCAAATATTTTTAGGAAGAAGGAATAGAATCAGGTTATTTTGATCAGTTCGCTCTGTGTGATGTCACAGTTAATTCAGCCATTGTCAGCTGTATAAACCAGCCCACAGTAATTTATTCAGGAGGTCACCTTTAGATGAATATATTTGCTGGCTCTATAATTTCTTTGTGAGATGATACCTTAACTTCTGAGGTTTGTTATAAGGTTTTTTTATTATTATTTTAATCACTGAGGCTTTTTTGAGCTGAAAGGCAACTCAGGAAGACTTAAATGTATACAGAGATAACACCACCTATAAAACTGCATTATTTCTAAATCATATTCATTCATCCAGTCATATTTAAAGTTACAATAAGTAAAAAAAACAAAGCTGATTTAAATATTTCCAAAACAAATCCTTTCCAGCAAATGCTATACAGTCTTGATAAAAAGTTATAAAAGGACAATCTTTTGCCTGTTGGGGAATCAATTGAGTTTGATGGGTACTTTCTTAATGACAAATGTTTTCCAGTTGACCTCACTTATACTGGATGACCACATTCATGTTGGCTAGCAGTTATGGAAATTATAATCTAACACATCTTCACACAATTAAACTGAGAAAATTAAGCCTGTGTGAACTAAATTTACCTATGTCAAGTTAATATAATGCTGGGTCTATTTTACTGTGTTCCCCCCTTTCTTTTCAAAGTTACTTCTTTCTAGGATGATAAAAAAAATTAAATTATTATATTATGAATTTTCAAGACAAAGTGCACAGTTCGTGGAAGATGTTGTAGCCATTGGAATGTTTGGGAGCAGGATTATCACTTTTTACTTTAACTTCCTAAGCTTCCTATCTTAGCCAGAGTCTGCAATGGTGATTTCACACAACTCTGTTATATTCATGCAGGAGAGAATTACTACCTCTGAGCTTCATGCCCATTGCCTGTCTGCAGATTGAGCTCAGGGCATACTCAAATGCAGGCGATTATACTAAATGGCTATGAATATTTGCCTATTGCAGAGGCCTCATCTCAGCCACAATTTTGGAAATTCGTCCTATTTGACTCATAGTAAGAATTGGGAAGGGACAAATGTTTTTATACACCCCTGTTTTTGAACACAAGGCATCACAGAATTAATGATCTGCAGAAAGATCCTTTTCCAAGTGATCTGTTGTAGATTAGGTTGCTTTTTAGCAACAATGGGAAAAGAAAGGCAATACACAAAGAAAACAACTTCCAAACCACCGCGATAAGGGTAGGGGAAGGTAGAAGAAACATGGGGTGGATGAAGGGCCCCAGCTTAGGGCCCAAATATCCCATTCTGCTTGTCTTTATTCTGCTGGATTCCCCCCCCCCACACACACACACCTTTCCATTCGTCCAGGATCACCCTACTATTTCACCATTATTATATTCTCTGCTCTAAGCTGTAGCCATGTATGCGAATGGAGGCCAGGTGAGGATCACTAGCTACTACTGTACTGTACAGGTAGTCCTTGAGTTAGGACCACAATTGAGTCCAAAATTTATGGTGCTAAGCAAAACATTTGTTAAGATAGCGATGCTCCATTTTTAGATTCTTCTTAGCACCGTTGTTAAGTGAATCATTACCTTTGTTAAGTTAGTAATGTGGTTTTTCAGTGAATGTGGCAATGTTCCCCATTCACTTTGCCTGTGATTCCAGGGCACTGCAACAGTCATAATTTTGATCACATGACCATTGGGGACAGGCAACGGGTGGTAAGTGTGGGAAAACGGCCGTATGTCCCTTTTTTCAGCATCATCTGTAACTTTGAAGTGTCCTTAAATGAGCTTGTAAGTCGAGGACTACGGGTGTTTACATACAGGCGCTCGCCCCTCCGTTCCCCGCCCAAACGTTCCCAAACAGGATGCCTGTCGCTTTAAGAGCCTACATACCTTGATCTCTCCAAGGCAAAGAGATGGTGGCTTCCCCCACCCACCCACCCCCATCCCCAAATTCGGGGCGCGGCGCTCTGCTTTCCCCCCTTTCTGCCTACGTCACCTGATAGATTCCCCGTCTCCTCTTCCCCCCTCCCTGCGCCCCCCCCTTCCCATACGTCGCCTGGTGCCTTTAGAGACGGACGGAGAGCGGGCTGGGCAAGCAGTTGGGCTCCTTGCCCGCCCCTCCCCTCCGTCCCTCCCTCCATCCCTGCGTGCGGGCAGAATCTTCTGGGTTGGCACCAATCGCCCCTCGGCGAAAATCCCCTCGGAAACAACGCAGCGGCGCGGGAACCAGCAGCCCCGCGCGCCCCGCGCGACGGGAGGCAGGTCGGAGAGGAGGAGAGGAGGCGGCGGCGGCGGTGCCCCGCTCTTGCCAGGGAGCGACTGGAGGATGGGAGCAAGCAGCCGCGCCGAGCCAAAGGGTGGCAGCAGCCCCAGCAAGCCGGGAGCTGCCTCGGCCGCCGCTTGATTCCTTCGGCGGGGAGAAAGAGGGAAGAAGAGGTGGCGGCGGTAGCAGAGGCAGCGGCGCTTTCTCGCTCTCCGGCTTCAGTGTCGGAGCTGCCGCCGCCCTGAGAGCGAGGAGGAGCCAAGCAGCGGCTGGCATGGAGCGGAAGAGCCCCGCTGCTGCGGGGAAGCAGAACCCGGGCAGCCGGGCACCAGGGGACGGGCACTGCGCCCAGGGCAGCGGCGGGTCAGCGGCGGCCGCCCAGCTTCGGAGCAGCGGCTGCGGCCAGCTCTCCGCGCCCACCGCCGCTTCTCCGGCTGCCGAGCCCGAGCAGCTGATCCGAAGAGCGCTGGATTTCAAAAGCCAAGGCGCTCAGTGCTACAAGGAGAAGAAGTGCCGGGAAGCCATCGGCAAGTACCACAGGGCGCTGCTGGAGCTGAAGGGGCTGTTGCTGGCCCAGGAAGACTCCGAGGACGCCGCTTCGACCGCCTCTACCGGGGGGGCTACCGGCCTGGGCAAACTGTCCGAGGAGCAGAGGCAACTGCTGGACAGCATCGAAATCGATTGTTACAACAGCCTGGCAGGTCAGGGCGGTCACTTTCGGGGTTTTGGCCTCGGGGTTGGCTGGGTGGGGGAGAATGATGATAAGGGGAGGACCTGGGAAGGAAAGTAGAAGTACAGAAGTCAGGCGCTTTGCGGCTCTCCCTCTCCCCTCCCTCCCTCTCTCCCCTCCTTCCCTCTCTCTCCCCATCTCTCCCTCCCTCCCTCCCTCCCTCTCTCTCTGGCGCCCGGAGCGCTCCGACCGCGCTTTGTGACTAAAGTTCGTCTTGGAGGCTGAAGGCAAAGGCAAGGGCTTTGGGGGGTGGGGGTGGGAGATCGGATATACTTCTTCTCGCTGCAGTTGTCTGCAAGTTTGATAGCGAGATCAAGTCACGAAATTGGGATGATGACAATTACAGGTGTCTCCCCCCCCCTTCTTCCCGCCCCCCTCAAACCTCCGCCTTCCTCAAATGGGCTATTCCCCCCCCCCCGAAATCGTGTGCGGGGATTTGCCGCCCCTCTGATGTGGAGTCTGGAGAGGAAAAGCATCCCAGATGTCTTTCGAAAGAGTCCTTCTATCTAGCCGGAGAAGCAAATAAAGGCCGTATTTATTTAGGGTGAATTGGCGTTCTCGGAGGCATACTTTGTAGGTTGCTTCTGTCGTTGCTCCGGTGTGTGTGTGTGTGTGTCCGCGCGCGCTAACAGTTGAAAAGCACATCTGCTGCAGTGCACCTTTCTACATCGCTAAATAACTAGGGCATAATAAATAGCCATGGCTATGCATGAAACTTTAAAGTAAATGGTTGATTTCCTTGTCCCCAAGGCTCTTGCAAATCCAGTCTACCTAAAGGGAAAAGGATAAGAAGGGGGGAAAAGTAATTATTGCGGCAGATTTCTTCCAGCATAAACTGTTATGAACCAGACAGATTTGTGAAGCATTACTCTCCGTAGATAGCGCTACCAATCTCCCCACCTTCTAATGAATTGAGGAAAATGCTGATTGTGCTAATGATCTTCAGAAGCAGCAGAATGCAATCAGTTAGTTGCTTTGTTTTTAACATGTTGCAAGAGTCTGTTGTTCCCCTGGTTGCAATAGTGGGGTAACACATTTGCCCTTCTAGAATGTGTTCCTAGGGGAAATATGTGTGGGCAATGGTAAAATTAATACACAAACACACACACACACACACACAACCCCAGAACAACTGAATGCTGTGTGTGTGTGTGTGTGTAAAAGACAGCACTGATCACAGCAACACAAGAACAGGCATTAAGCGTCAGATCCATAGAAGCAGGGAATTTACCACACTAAATAGAACCCAAGGGGTAGATCCATGTCTCTCTCGCAGCTGAATGATGTGTGGGCCTTTAACTCCCCGAATTCCCCAGCCAGCCATCAAGCAGTTTCCACAGAAGGTTGTGGAGAATAAAAGGGTTAAGAATCTGTGGGAGTTTCGGATCCAGATGGACAGGCAGGCACTAGATAACCAACCAGGCACTGTAGTAGTAGACAAATTAATAGACAAAGACCAGAAGAGAGCAGCAGTGATAGATCATGTAATGGTGCCAAATAACAACAACACCAGGAAGAAGAAGTCCGGGAAGTCTGAGAAGCGCCAGGCCTGGAGAAGGAACTAGAGGAGATGTGGAAAGCAGAAGCAAAAGCGATCCCACTGATGATAAAAGCACTTGAGGCTGTGACTCCTAAATTGGGAGAATGGCTCCAGCAGATCCCATGAATGAAATCAGAGCTTTTGGTCCAGAAGAATGAAGTGCTAGGAACAGTTAAGATACTGCACAGAACCCTCAGGCCTTTGACAGAGGAGGACCCAAGATTAAGGAAGACACATACCACCACCAGGAGTGAGAAGGGAATGTGTGTGTGTGTTTGTGTGTTTGTGTGTTGCAATTGTTCAGAGTTGGCTGTTTATTTCCCTTTCGGGGAACAGTAGAAGACCAAGGGGTCTAAAGTCAAATGTTTCATAAAAAAGAGGAGGTATCTGAAGGCGGTTTGTCCTTGGTAGGGTGGTGGGAGTGGGGAGAGAGAAATATTCCAGAAACTTTGTGGGGAGAAAGGAAGAGAAAGAGCAAGCATTCATTATATCCACCTTGAAGCACAACAACTATAGAACAGTAGCTGGATTTGTTGTGATTTTTTCAAAGAGCAAGGCAATTAGGAGCCAGCAATTCTATCGCCTGCTAATTTCATGACAATAACTTTGAAGTGATCGATGGGTTCTCCAGAGATTACGATCCATAGATTCTTTCCCAAGACTTCTCTGCTTTTGCAGCTATCAATTATACAGCACTCCCTCCCCTCTCTGCCTGTTTCTTCCAGTTGTTTATCATCAGTTCAATAGTTTGGCATTAATACTATAATGGCTGGAGTTACCTCTTTCAGAAGTACTGATGGTAAAAAGCTACTTAACAACATAGGTCTAGGTGGGCATGAAATACTCTTAATTTGATTTCAATGAGCAATTGGAATACTTTTTAAAGAATCCAGAAAAAGGCAGCCAACTTATTTTTGTCTATTATCTATGGCTGATAGCAACGAGAATGCTAGTATTTAAGTATGTGAGCTCTAAACTAGGAAGATCTTGGTTCAAATTTCACCCATTCTAAATATTTGATGCAACCCCAACAACTTTGATTTATTCATACACCTTGGGTAAGGAATCTATGATAGCCTGTTGCATGAACACAGTCTCTCAGTCAACACAATATTAGCACACCTTGCAAAATTCCTGTAAAATTTACTGAGACACATAAGGGAAACATTTTAAATTCTTTTTTTAAACAATCCAAACTCTCTAAAAGAATGGTTTTCAACATTGGCAACTTTTAAGATGTGTGGACTTTAACTCCCAGAATTCCCTGGCCGGCGTGACCCACCATATATTAAGAAGGGAAACGATGTGGAAGTGCATAAACTGAGCAATAGACCTGAGACAAAAGCATTGTTCAGAATACATTTTATTGGGACTAAATGTAACTTTACTGTCTCTGCCTTTGCTTGGGTAGTTTACTTTTCAGCTTAGTCTGTTGTATGAACCTGGCATTGTTCTGTTAAACCATTGTTTATAGTTCTCGGTTCATTGTGGTTTATTCAGCAAATGATAGCAATAGCAATAGCAATAGCAGTAGACTTATATACCGCTTCATAGGCCTTTCAGGCCTCTCTAAGCGGTTTACAGAGAGTCAGCATATTGCCCCCAACAATCTGGGTCCTCATTTTACCCACCTCGGAAGGATGGAAGGCTGAGTCAACCCTGAGCCGGTGAGATTTGAACCGCTGACCTGCTGATCTAGCAGTAGCCTGCAGTGCTGCATTTAACCACTGCGCCACCTTGGCTAAGTAGACAATGTCTTACCATGTGGTATGAACCCAGCCTCTGGGGGTGTAACTTTCATTATAGCCACCCAGGTTTCTGTTCCATGTGTTCCATATTTCTCAAGTATCAAGAATTACACAGCACTTTTGTATAATAGCAGAGCACTGAAATATAATGAAAGAGCCGAGGTGGCGCAGTGGTTAGAGTGCAGTACTGCAGGCCACTTCAGCTGACTGCTATCTGCAGTTCGGAGGTTCAAATCTCACTGGCTCAAGGTTGACTCAGCCTTCCATCCTTCCGAGGTGGGTAAAATGAGGACCCAGACTGTGGGGGCAATATGCTGACTCTGTAAACCGCTTAGAGAGGGCTGAAAGCCCTATGAAGCGGTATATAAGTCTAACTGCTATTGCTATAGCTAACTCATGAATGTTACTATCTATCCAGTCTGATGCCCTCCAATCTTATTGGACTCCCAAGGTCTAATGAATTCAATATATTTGCAGTGCACCAGATCGGGGAAGAGGAGTATACTTCTGTTTCAATAACCCACCGATGCTCTTCCACTTACACCTGGGGTGTCTATTAGTAGTACTCACATCATCACAGTGGTGTCACGTAACATATTGGAACTTTCCCCGCCTTCACTAAACCAGGTGTGGGTGTGGCCAGTGAGTTACACATCTGGCCCGCGGGCTGCAGTGGTGTATTAACCGTAAAGCAGACTAAGCACGTGCTTAGGATACCAGGCCCAAAGGGGGCATCACAAAGTTGAGAAAGAAAAAAAAAAGCAATGAAGATTTGTACAGTATGTACTTACAAAGGAGAGGGGCACCAAGATTTGTCAGTGCTTAGGGCACCAGTGAGCCTTAATCCGCCACTGGCAGGCTGGGACTTTGACAGCCCTGATTTACACTGCTTAACCTAATTCTGAGGTCATGTATTTGTATGTTTCTCTCTGGGTGTCTGAGTGTGAGAAATACATTTGTACAGCGTAGTACTCTTTTTGGCTTTGGTTCCATCATCCATGGGCTCCAAGCCTACCCAGTCACATTATATATATATATGTATATCTTGGAACTAAGAAGCCTCCCCCTCTCAAAAGATGACAGATGTTATTGAGGATGAGGAGAGGGGCGGGTTCATATTTCCAATATAGACATAAATATTAATAATAAATGATGGTGACAGCCAAGATCAATAAAGAACATGCCTCTGAGCAGTATAAAGACAACTAGAGTCTGCCAGGAGAGGTTGATCTAATAGCAGAGTTTGGACCTCAAGATCACAGTGACAGATTCATAGCTTGGAAGCCCAGCCAGGAGCACAAACTCAGCTGGTTGTGCTGGTAAGGTGATGCACTGCCTCTCAGCTTCTGCAGCATCTCCTTTTACACGATTGAGCCCATTCATCCTTTTTCTGGGTGTATCATTTCGATATAGATGGGAAGAATCCAAGCCTCATCCCTCTCTGACTCCTTCTTCAAGAGGGAAAAAAACCATTTCTTATAGAAATATGCTCCTCCACTTCTCACTGAACGTAGAACTGCAACTGAGAATTATAGAATGGGGGTGTGGGAGACCACTAGGGATGCGCGTATGTTTTTCCATACATTTAAGGCAGATTTTTTTCCAACTTAGGGGGGACTTGGGATGACAATTTCTATCATCCCCACCCATCCAATCATGCTGACTAGGAATCATGGGAGTTATAGACTAGCACTGGTCAATACCTTCAAGTTGGAAAGCCTTAGTTAAAGGCTGTATGTACTTCAGATATTTGGACATCAACAGGAGATCATTGCTTCACGTTTTATTGTTGAAAACAACACAAACAAGGTTTATAAAGAGGAATCATTTTTGAAGCTGCTCAGATGACAAATGTTCTGAAGCTTGTCAAATGACAGTGTTTTGATCAGCAACAATTGTTTCAGGCATCCAAATTGTGCCTCCAAGTTGCAATCGATGAACTGTGAATTTCCGTTGAAGCTATGATAATGCAGCTTTGAGATGCTCATATGGGTAGCCTATGCAACATTTAGCCTTTTTAAAGTCACATTTTAACAGATGCAGTATTATTTTTTCTCCTCCAACCTACATACTTAGCTGTGATTTGGAGAAAGATGATCAGGTGGCATTAAATACTGCTTTTTCTTGTACTTGCGCACATGTTCCAACATTGATTTGTTCATCCAAGTGTAATTCTGTATCATTTGGCAGAAGAAAGGCTGGTGATGTTTGACATTCGTTGGTTTATTTCCATCTCACGTTGCACTTCAAGGCTTACATGGTGTTGTATAGATGCCAGGTCTTTACTATTAATAATTCAGCGGATGCTGAAATGCTCCCTAGTTTTGAAGAATAGATATTGCTAAATGAAAATATCTGCAAGATCATCAGATTGGTGGTACCAATCAATCAGGACTAGAAGATAAATAGAGTTGAAAGGTTTGCACAAGAAACTGGTTTGCTGAAAGAATCTAGCCAGGTATTCAGAACTCGGTTTCAGAGCACAAACTATTTCTGATCCTTATAAGATTTCATTATTATAGGTTTAGTTGTTACACATTGTATATATTTATTCAGACCTCACTACACAACATTTTGTGTGCTAGGGGAGTGGATGCAGTTATGTCCCTTAGGGTATTATTCTAGGCCTTACTATAATATAACATGTGCTCAGGTCAGGGGGCATCTATGGGGAGATTTAAGAAGTCAAGATGGGTCACATATTCAAGACCCCCCCAACCGTCTCATACTCCACCCATATGGAACCGAGTGTGGCTTCAATAATAGTGCCAAAAACGTAATTACATATATATGCTGCCTGACTCCAAGTGATGGGGTCACCGTCTTCATTCGCATATCATCCCTGACACCTCTGTGTGAACCTATGTAGAGATTTTATAGCAATCAAAAGGGTTTCACTGTGGAGTGCTGCTGGTGAGGATGAAGGCAATATTTCCTGATAAGAGTAAACTGGTAGTGCATCATTTATCTTCTGTGTATGCTGGTTTGTGTGTGTATGTGCATATGCACATACACTATAGCTATATATGTGCATGAATGTAAAATTTGCTAGTGCTCTGAATGGGATTTAGAGTCAGCTGGGTAGAGAACAGCATAATTACCCTGAACCGCAAGGATAACCCATCCACCAATCAATGAAACTTAGGTACATCTTGCAGATACTAGACTAAATTAGCTTCTTTTCAGTCAATCTGCATAATTCATTTGCCTTGAGTCTCCTTCCCTATACCATATAAAATATAAGCATTTCAACTCTATAACTTTTGTATTGCCAAAG